TTTTTGTATTCCAAAAGGAGAGGGAACTATTTCATTTGTGCCCTCATGTCAGAATTGAAGGTGGATCATTAAATTTTCAACGCAGTTTACAAACAAGCATTTGGTCTTTCTCGTCGTTTATAAGCAGTGGCTAAGAAAAGGTTGATCAATCCTGAAGTTCAGTCATCGTACCTCAACTTGGCAGCAAGATCCCCCAAGGACAGAGGATATATTGTATACATGTCCTGTAAATCAAAACAAACAAGCATTTGGTCTTTTTCGTATATAAGCAGTGGCTAAGAAAAGGTTGATCAGTCCTGAAGTTCAGTCATCATACCTCAACTTGGCAGCAAGATCCCCCAAGGACAGAGGATATATTGTAAACCTGTCCTGTTAATCAAAACACTGTTGTGCCTTCAAAGGCTTAAGTTATCTGACTTCGGAGTTAGGCTATATGGCCGTTTTTGTTGTATGTTTATGTGGAGATTGAATATAACTGTGACCCTGTGCTTGTTTGTATACTTACGGTCAAACAGGGAACAGCACATTCACATAACATACTCACCTAGCACCTAACTCATAGCTGTACCCTGCAGGATATGTACTTGTTCATGTCTCGAGCATTAACAAAGCACTAAAGTAGCTTAGTAATCATTTCCCACATTTTCTGAACATCTAACATGACGTACAGCAGTGCAGAGCAGCTTCAGAGAAGAAACACTTTAAATGCACAGACTCACACCAGCCACCCAATGAGCCAGTTCCTCAGTTGACTGTTTCCCTGGACACAGCTTGGCAATGTGAGCTAACTTTTGGCAAGTTGAAGGTTAGCAGGTAAGATTGAGTTAGGGTGAGTACCTACCTATAACTGGGTGCTACTGCCATGCAGGTCTTGGGTAGGCTGCAAATATGTGTGATGATTGAGGTTAGGTCAGCTGTCAGGTTCAGGTATGCTCATTGCTCAGGTCACATTTTTATGGACATTTGGCAAATTAAAAAACTAACAATCTGATCTAAGCTAGCCCGACTAAACATACACAACTACTGACTATAGGAACTGAGCACCTACCTACTTGTGCCTACATCTCATACCATGTCAAAGTAGAGTTCCTTGGTGGAAGATTACCCTCAGTACTTTTTATCCCAGCCCTGTGAAGAAAACTAATACTTCTAAGCTCTGAGTCACTGCTGGCCATCCACAGGAAGAAACGCTGAGACTGAGAGCTTTGCCATTGTATATTGGACCAATAATGACTATCACGAATGACTATAAACACATAATATGATCACATCGTTGCATGGATTGTCACATTGACAATTTTACTACAATCCTTTTTTCAAAAAATACAGTGATGATGATTAACATCAAAATCAACATAAAGTGGATTTAGTGATCCAAGCTTTCTCCTCCAGTAGCAATGGAATGATCGCATGTTTCATTTGCCAGACACGAGTATCTGATGCACATTACAATCTGCATAGCATCTAAACATAGTAAAACTGCCCAAGTCCATTCATTCTAGATTTTAACTTGATAGTTAGCACTAATTTATCTTGCTGTTGTAAGTTATCATTCAATATTCATACCAATACATCAATATGTGCTCGTCAGTCAACATTTTCTGGCATGATCCTGCTCAGCGTGCACTTCAGTATTGCTCCAAGGTCTGCAAAATTTTAGCTTGTTTTTGGACAATAAGCTCTTTTAATTTTACTTTTTCTTGCTGATATATGAGCCCGATCAACTTGCGTTTATCAACCAAAATTTCATAACTTGTTCAACTTGATATTGATATTGCTCAGTAGTCAGGACTTCTGTCAGCCTCATGGATACTTCAGATTGTTTTCAGTCAACATGCTTCTTAAATATGATATAAGTCAATCTTAAGGGATTCAAAACATCCAACAAAACGACGTACAAGAGCAAGAAAACCACCAGATAAGCTAAAAAATGGCCTTGGAACAGAGCCAAGTGGTGCTCCATTTGTTTGTTTACAATAATTGTAGTGCTGATGTATTTTTAGGACTCTGAACGTCGGCTTATAAAAAAAGTGAAACGTTTTTACAAAAGTTGTAAGGCAAGCAATATTTATTTGAAAGAACTAAAATATTCAAAAGCCAAACACTATGAAATACATGAATCGGAACGAAAAAGTAACCCAAAAATCCAGCCTAATCACCGGCTCCTAAAACTGCAACACAATCAGCACTTTTCCCCGCAACTCGTTGTCCAGACGTAAATATGCCCCGGTAAATGGGCTAGCGCTACCAAATGCTACCATATTGGACTTGCTTGGGGCCGTGCTTTTCAAAATTGAAATTGTTTTCAGGTTCAAGTTATAGGTATGGCCTTGGTTTTCAGTTTCTTCCGTTATTATGCGGTCTTCGGTTTTTCCAAGAGTTTTTCAGGCTAAAGACGAAACAACATTTTTTGTGATCGTAGCTATAGTATCTCTACCCAGAGTATTTTCAAACTCTGCCCATCTTGATCTGCAATTTGCAGTCTGGTGGGTATATGTCAAGTTTAGGTCCTAACTACAACTGTGGCGCTTTTGATACGAATATGAAAAAGCAAAAATTTTAGGTTTTAGGTTAGGTTAGGTTGTAGGTTTGTAGGTTTTAGGTTGTAGGTAGGTAGGTTTGTAGGTTAGGTTAGGTTAGGGTAGGTTTGTAGGTTGTAGGTTGGTAGGTTATAGGTAAGTAGGTAAGGTTAGGTCAGGTTTGATTATGTTTTTTCTTTTATTTGCGAGACATATGAGTATCATTTTTGGATTCAGGATGTCAAATAATGTAAAAATATGAAAAAATTATCAATGAATTCTTCTTAGGACTTAAACTTGACATTTACCGTCTGGTGCACCAGGTGAGAATACCGAAATGGCATCCTCGCGGTCCTCTCCGGGGATAGAGAGCGGCGGCGTGCTCCTGAGGAGTGGCTTGAATAGTGATTCTGAGCCAGACTGGAAAAAATACACGTTATGCCGAATATGTCCGGCGTAGTGGCAGGATTGCGCTGAAAATTTCAGGACACGTCCGGCGTAACTTGGCATGCGCCGAATTCAGCACATGGCGGAAGACAAATTTTTTGGCGCAGGGCGATCGCATAATTTTTGGCGGAAGACGGTCACCGAATTTATGCGGTACGCTGGTCAATCGGTATCGGTAACCCTGGCGTCACCGGTAATGTTTTCGTTCAAGGTTAGGATTTCCTGTATTAGGCCGCTGTGCCAGGCCGAAGCATGCTGTGACGTCACTGGAAGAGCAGGTAACTTACCACGCTTTCAGATTCAGGTCGACTCAGACCGACTCAAACTAACTCAGACCGACTCAACCGACTCAAATCGATTCTGATCGACTCAGACAGACTCAGAACGACTCAGAGAGTCTCAGACCGATTCAGATCGACTCAGACTGACTCAGACCGACTCAACCGACTCAAATGGATTCCGATCGACTCAGACAGACTCAGAACGGCTCAAACCGACTCAGGCAGACTCAAACTGACTCGGCCGACTCAAACCGATTCAGATCGACTCAGACCGACTCAGATAGACTCAGAACGACTCACACTGACTCGGATCGAGTCAACTGACTCAAATCGATTCCGATCGACTCAGACAGACTCAGAACGACTCAAACCGACTCAGGCAGACTCAAACTGACTCGACCGACTCAAACCGATTCAGATCGACTCAGACCGACTCAGATAGACTGAGAACGACTCAAACTGACTCAGATCGACTCAACCGACTCAAATCGATTCTGATCGACTCAGACAGACTCAGAACAACTCACAGACTCAGGCAGACTCAAACCGACTCAACCGACTCAAATCGATTTAGACCGACTCAGACAGACCCATCGGTTTGACCTGAATCATCAGACCTGAATCGGTTTGAGTCGGTCGAGTCAGTTTGAGTGTGCCTGAATCGGCTTGAGTCTGTCTGAGGCTGTCTGAGTCGTTCTGAGTTTGTCTGAGTCGATCGGAATCGATTTGAGTCGGTGGAGTCGGTCTGAGTCCGTTTGAGCCGTTCCGAGTCTATCTGAGTCGATCTGAATCGGTTTGAGTCTGCCTGAGTCGGTTCGAGTCTGCCTGAGCCGGTTTCAGTCTGCCTGAGTCTGTCTGAGTCGTTCTGAGTCTGTCTGAGTCGATCGGAGTCGATTTGAGTCGATCGGAATCGATTTGAGTCGGTTGAGTGGGTCTGAGTCAGTTTGAGTCGTTCTGAGTCTATCTTAGTCGGTTTGAGTCTGCCTGAGTCGTTTTGAGTCTGTCTGAGTCGTTCTGAGTCTGTCTGAGTCGATCGGAACGATTTGAGTCGGTTGAGTCGTTCTGGGTCAGTTTGAGTCGTTCTGAGTCTATCTGAGTCGGTCTGAGTCGATCTGAATCGGTCTGAGTCTGCCTGATTCTGTCTGAGTCGATCGGAATCGATTTGAGTCGATCGATTTGAGTCGGTTGAGTCGGTCTGAGTTAGTTTGAGTCAGTCTGAGTCGATTTGAGTCTGCGTGAGTCGTTCTTTACGTTATTCTCTTACCCAGTGACGTCACAGCATGCTTCGGCCTGGCACGGCGGCCTGATACGGGAAACCTTAGCCTTGAACGAAAAAGCTACCGGTGACGCCAGGGTTACCGATACCGGTCAATCTAGCAGCAGATTCGCCCCCAGGCGGCTCTATAGAGGTTTCGGGATGAGACGTCCCCGCCCCGGTCGTCGCGTGTTCGAACTGGTGAGCCGCCCTGAGGCTAGCGGAGGAACGGCCGCCCAGGTGAAGCCTCAACCTTCGGCGTGTAGAGATAGGTATGGAAAACCTTGTTGAACGTCTCCAAGCGTCATTAAGCAATAGCAGTGGGTTCCTGCCCACTGCGGTATCAAGGGGAATGAGAGGGCGGACGACCTGGCAAAACAGGCGGCCGCCCTGGCCCTGCCCTCAAACGCCCGATCGCTGACCAGGGCGGTTCATTGTGCGGCCTCGCATCAGTGGCACGACAACTGCTCAGAATCACTATTAAAGCCACTCCTCGGGAGCACGCCGCCGCTCCCTACCCCGGAGAGGACCGAGATGATGCCATTTCGGTGCACCAGATGAGGGCGGGCCACCGGGGCCGCTTGCTCCAGTACGGCACTGAATCGGCTGTCTTCACTCCTCTGCGTGCCAGCAGTGCCCAGACAAGCGGTGCCCAGCGGCGCTGTGCACCGTGAGCCGAGAAGAGGCTGATGTGCCGGAGCACGTGCTGCTCCGCTGCCCGGCCCTCGCTGGCTCCCGCCGAGGTATTCGGTTTACGTGGAAATAAAAAACTCATTCGGACGCTCAAACATGGGAGAGCGTGCAAAGCCCCGAAACACTCTGACTTGCTGATATAGCCTTGATCAGTAGATGTGCACATGTGCTTTATGTGAAAAGGGCTTAATTTTCGCACGAATAGGCACCTATTTTTGGCGCAAATCACATAGAAATTTCGGCGCAAAATCGCTTGCGCCGAATTTCGGCGCAACAGGGTCTCACGGGCGTCCGGCGTAGTGTATGGATGTTTTCCAGTCTGGATTCTGAGCAGTTGTCGCGCCACTGTTGCGAGGCCGCACAATGAACCGCCCTAGTCAGCGAACGGGCGTTTGAGGGCAGGGCGGCCGCCTGTTTTGCCAGGTCGTCTGCGCTCTCATTCCTCTCGATACTGCAGTGGGCACTGGCAGGAACCCACTGCTATTGCTTAAGCTTGGCGACGTTCAACAAGGTTTCCCATACCTATCTACGACGAAGGTTGAGGCCTCACCTGTGCGGCCGTTCCTATGCTGAGTAGACTCAGGGCGGGTAGCCAGTTCGAGTATGTGTCACGCGACCGCCGGGGCGGGAACGTCTCGTTCCGCAACTTCTCCAGAGCCGCCTGCGGGGCGAATCTGCTGCTAGATTGACCAGCGTACCGCATAAATTCGGTTACCGTCTCTCGCCAAAAAAAAAAAAAAAAATGCAAGTGCTCTGTGCCGGAAAATTCGTCCGCCGCCATGCGCTGAATTCGGCACATGCGAGGTTATGCCGGACGTTCCCGGAAATTTTCGGCGCATTCCCGCCACTGCGCCGGACATATTCGGCATAACATGTATTTTTCCAGTGTGGCAGTCCGCTGATCAATTCACCTGCTTGGTTTTGGGTCCCCTTGGTCAGAGACATCTCTATTCCATAACAAATGTGAACCAGGAATGGGTTAGAGTGCTTACCCAAATGGAATATGATGAAAATGGATCCTCTATTCTCCAGCCTGTATCATGTCTGCTCGGACCAACCTGACCTTGATCGAGAAGCCAAGTTAGAGGGGGGGGGGGGTAAATTGTAAAATACCCCCAGCGGTACTTCAGTTCCACAGAAGACCACCAGCTCAGCACGGGTTAATAATATATTGGTGTTGTCAAAGCTGAGTGCTGCAGCTACATTATCTTCTACCCCCTAATGTGAGCATTGACTGGTGCCTTTATCTCCAGATGTTTTGAGCTGTGCAAGACAAAAGCAGTGACAGTAATCCTGTCACCACGATAATAGGATGGCAATGTCAAATTTCAGTATGGCACTACCACCACAACATGAACCCAGGTCTTCAAGAGTTGCATCATTTGCCAGCTTGTCAACGCCAGCTGGTGCTTTGAACCAAGGTACTGATCGGTAAGTTACACACACATCTCCGCATTAGCGTCAGTCAATGTGATTAAAGTGATGAATCGTTGTAGTTGATTCATCCTCGAGTGATTTTGTTTTGAAAGTGCATATATTTGCCTTTTCCTCATTGTTTATTTTAGTTACCACCCTAGGAAGGGTACATCATAATCGTAAACGTTGTTTGTGCAGCTGCCAATTAGATGCAGGCGTTCGGTTATTTTTTTATACAATTGCGGCAAGTGTGGTGGGTCTGATGCCTCCCCATCCTGTCCCCAGTCGTGTGACCCTCCCCGCCCCTCCCCAGTCGCCGGTATGTAACTGCTCCCCCTGCCAGTCTAGTGGACTTTTCTCCGGTCTGTCACAGTGTGTTCTGTACCACAATATCCCTTTCCCCAGTGTGTTTGACGCGTCTGAAAGCTCGGAGGACCGCCGCCTGTTCACCATCGTACACGGTGTGCGAGAGGACTGCATCAGGCTGCTGCAACAGTTCGAGGCGCGCCAGTCGCTCCGGTTCAACGACTTCTCCGCCTGCTGGAGGGATATGATGTTCTCTCACATACTGAGGTGGGCAGGGTCTCGGTTTCTGGCAATGTTGGTATACTGTCGCCTACAATACATGATGTGAGCAAAATATTGGACGAAATCGGGATGTCAGCTTCGTAGAGCAATATTGTTAGTTTTTGCTACGGAAACTAACGGAAACGGAAACTCACATACTGAGGTGGGCAGGGTTTCGGTTTCTGGAAATATTGGTATATTATATTGTCGCCTACAATACATGATGTGAGCAAAATATTGGACGAAATCGTGATGTCAGCTTCGTAGAGCAATATTGCTAGTTTTTGCTACGGAAACTAACAGAAACGGAAACTATCCTTACGGAAAATTCGCAGATGTAATATCAATCGTGTCTGCGTGTGCACGGCTGGCATCCGGGTTCATTTTAGCGATGATAAATGTATACACCGGTACGAGCATTACCTACACCTCGGAAATTCACAAGTCTTATTTGGCAATAGTCACTGGTGTATCCGACCGTTGCGTTGCCCGGTGGCTGTTTTATTGACCCGTGTTTGACAATCGTTTGGGCAGCGGCCGAACGATCGTGGCTGAACGGATCGAGTACCTCCAGAAGACCATGGCTATCGCCGTGCGGCTATTCGTCAACGGACAGGACATCATAAGAAAAGTGGGCGCCCTGTACCTCATGTACGGCCTCTACATGAAGATCGGAGCGGGCGAGAGGTGAGCGACGTGCGGTCGATGACTTACTAGCTTTATGTTATGCCAAATAAAGTTCGATGTGTTATATGCGTTAGTTGCTGCCGTGTTCAATTCACCAGTTTCAACTCGCATCATGATGTCGATATAGCACCATAGCGTGTATTTGGTAGTTGGTACCACACCCTACAACAAGCTGGGTTATGTAACCGTCAGTCACCGTCGCTCCCCGCTCGGCCGCAGGATTCTGGTCGGGATCCGGGTCACGCCGCTCGTCTGGGCTGCGCTGAAGGAGGTCCGTGAGCTCGCCGTCCAACAGAATCACCACGACGTCCTCTTCGTCATCGACAAGCTGCTCTTCATGTCGGCATTCGTGTTCGTCGCACAGGACCGGGAGGTGAGTCAAGCGTGGCTGGCGTCGGCCCGCTGGGAGATTTGTTAGATTATGTCCCCTGTCAGGTAGTATTTAATGAAGCATTTCACTCGTACATGCTCGTACTAAAGCAAGGCCAATAATAATGGTGACACAAGGCTATTTCAGCCTGTGTGCATTTCGATGCTTCATTTAACGCCACCACGAGTCGCACGCTGTACTGAGGCTGACGGTGGTCGCCGCTGCGACTGTTCCCAGCTGGCTCCGGACCTGCTGCACCGCTCGGCCAAGACGGACGCCGGCGACGAGGACGCTGGCTATGAGCTCGAGGAGGAGAGCCCGCTGCAGGAGTACCTGGAGGACGGCGGCCTGCAGCAGCTCTCCACGCTACACACCAAATACGAGGCCATCAAGCAGCAGCTCTTCAAAGGTGGGTGTCTGCCGGACGGAGTCGGCTTTCTTCATACATCACGTCTACGTAATTTGGGTCATTCAGATGGTATCAAAGTTGTTAGAAGAATAATGTTCCGTGAGAAATAAATGCAGTAGCGTCCGGACTTTGTCACGGTTTTCTTTGGACGTTGTTTGTATCACAAGAACGACAGCGAATGTCGGAAAATGGATGTTAGATTTTCCTAACAGAAACATAACCTTAGTTAAATAACAAATCATGGATTAGCTATCGCATTTAGTTCAAAATTTGACACTGTTAGCTGGTGGTCAAAATATGACTCCCTTGAGAGCGCATGAGACAGATTGTGTTGTCTGTGGCAGGTGCCAACATCGAACGCATCTCCTTTCTCGGCGCCGATGTCGCTCCCGACATACAGAGACGTCTGGAGGCGATCATAAAGGGGAAGGCACCGGCGGCAGCTGAGGCTGCCGCTGAACAGGACAAACCCACTACACGTGAGTAGCTGCGGGACAGCCGGGCTCACCGTGAGGCCTTGATGGTGCATGCGGTTTTGCACTGTGTGAGGATGCATTTGGCATAGCATGCTGGTAGACATTTGTTCATACACACAGGCAGGCCTTTTCTGGGATGATATGTTGCATTTCTTGCTGCTCTACATTATGTTGATGAACTTTGTGGTTGTCCTCGATAACCGCCATAATTGAAACTGACACGTTTTATCGCTTCATAACGTTTCGGACATAGTGGTTGACTTTGAACCCCGTGTGTCCACCAGTGACCGGACGTCGCGGTGCGCGGGAGCGGGCCCTGGCGCGCTTCAGAGACGAGCCGGCGCCGCAGTCGCCGCCCGACGAGGGACCGGAGTCCGCCTCGTCAGCGGACGAACACACAGCTGAGACCTCCCCGCCCCCGTCCCCTCCCAAACGGGCTAGAGGGCGCGGCGGCCGGCCGGTCGGAACCAGCGCCCGCGGAGGCGCAGCAAAGGGTCGAGGAGCCGGGGCTAAGGCGGGACCCACTGGGCCAGAGGCTGTGGCGCGGGGACCGAAGGCCGACGATCCGGGACCGGGGACGAGTGACGCGGGAGCTGGACCGAGCAGCCCCTCACGGGAGACGGTGTCTAGTGACGGGAATGGTATGTCCCTGGGCGACTCTAGCCCGCCGGAGACTCCCTCGCCCCGTGGTCGTGGCAGCAGGAGAGGCTCCAGAGGAAGGCCTGGGCGGGCTAAGATACCAACATCCCGAGGTCGCGGTAGTAGGGGGGCCGATCAAGGTCGTGAAAGTCCAGACGGGTCCCCGCCCGCTCGAGGTCGAGGGAGCAGAGGGTTGTCTCGGGGCAGGCCGGGTGGTCGTGCAAAGATACCTACCTCTCGTGGTCGCGGCAGGAAGGGAGCCGATCGAAGAGGAAGTACCAGTCCGGAAAACTCTCCCTCCACTCGAGGTCGTGGTGGCAGGGGAAGTTCTCGGAGAAGAAGTAGAGGTCTGTCGATGTCTCCTTCGCGCGGGCGCGGCAGGAGGGGAGATTCTCAGGGAAGAGTTCAGAGTCCTGGGGCGTCGTCTCCCTCGCGTGGTCGTCCCAAAAGGGCAGCCTCCTCTTCCCCATGGATGGGGAGGAATGAGGGTCCCGAAGCGTCTCAGTCGTCCACGAACCCCAGCGAAGTGGAACTCGTAATGGTCGAAGAAGTTGCGTCACCCACACGAGATCGGGGTAGGGGTTCGAGCACCGGTGGTAGGGCTCGAGGTCGGGGTCGTGGTCGGGGTCGAGATCGGGGTCGAGGTCGAGGTCGGGGCCGCGGCAGCGCTGCGCAGTGATCTGGTCTGCTGTTAGGCACGTCAGTTCAGTGTGTTGGTCCAATTGGGATCCTTTTGCACTCGCTCGTTGTCAATGTGTTACTGCGATTGAAGGCTCTGATTTGATAAGATGTGATAATTTGAATACAGAAAGTCATTTGTTTGTAAGATGTCTTTACGTCGCTTTAGGGAACAAATACGCAAATTGGGGATAACTAAAATCGGGTGAGCGTATTTTTTTTTCTACCTACGTTCTGTGTGTGTGGCTGACAGGATATTTATCTGTGTTATCGGGGAATACCGAAAAATTAGATGCATTTGTTTCGGAAAGAGCTACGAAAGCTTTTGATATTTTTTTTTTCAATACCATTTGCTTTGAATTTCGGATATCTAGTAAACACTTCATGGTTGGTGCATGTGCTACTGCTGACCAGAAGCAGTTAGATGAATGTGGTCGTTCTAGTCTCTGGTTACTAGGTAAGCGCTCGGTAGCCATCTGCAGCTTCTCATCGTTGCCGAAAGATATCTCTGTGTACTCGTGATAGCGGCACTTTAAAACCAGAGCTGTTTGCTGATGTCCCACAATAGTGTGTTGTCATCATATGGGTGCGTCGTTTCAAAGACATCCGTGTTAGCGCCCGGGAAAGCGCACTTTTGGAGAGACCAGTGGCTGAGAAGGTACGTGGACTGTCATGTGCTAGCAGAAATTCCTCGCTTTTTAGATTTTTATTGTGCAAGCATAACGAGGGTAGGAAACTAATTTTACGTAATTAATTCTTGTCATGGCCGTCGATCTATTGATCTACTACGCATTGCCTGCTTCCCATGTGTTCTATCTAATCTGGTTGATTCATGCCGATAGTGGTAGGGTAAACACAATTGACATGTGTTAGATTATTACATGAATGTTTATAATACATAATTGTTCAGTCTCACTGCAGCCTTCTGCTCAATGTTGAATTTTGTCCGATTTGTGTTCAGATGGTTGAATCGCTCATGCAGAACCGGGAGTGTGACCCAAAACCCAATAGTGTCATACATCCGAGTTTAGTTAGCTCACTATGTGTTCATCAAAGGACTGGGTCATGTGATTTTTTACCCTCAATTGACAACTTTGTCATTACATTTAGGCAATTGAATTTTGCTTCCTGCTTGCTGCAACGTCTCCTTATTACGCACGCATCATTTCAGCGCATCACTATGAACCTCCTGGCGTTGGGTGTGGCCGTTTTGGCCACACTCTGCACCTGTAACGCCCAACTGGCCAGTGTCACATTCTCTGGAGACAAGCTCGTACCCCAGGACGGTGTCGCCGAGAACTGGGTCGCTAGGGCGAACTTCACCCGGAAATATTTCGAGACTGGGTGAGAGTATTGTTGTCTTCGTAGTTTGAATATAGCACCTGTAAGACAACTAATTATGAACATGGAAATATCTAATGCAGAATTGCTTTATAACTAGAACGGTAGGATGTTTCATTGAACCACCACGCCACATTCCCTTATCAAAGTTTTTTATTTTCAGCTGGGATTTCCTGGAGGTGGAGACCAATGGCGACTATCCCGACAACGACCAGGCCTATGCCGCCGGCCTGGTGGAGGCCTATCTCACCAAGGATTTCATTGTCATGCACTGGAACGTAAGTACAGGATGGTGCACGCACTTGCCCGTTTCATCTTATATTGTTGGGCATTGATCTTCTTAGCTGCTCTTTCCATTGCTAAATGAATATTGTGCCCGTTACAGGGCGAAGGAAAAAATGTTGTTTTTTTAACGCTCGCCTGTCGAGAAGCTTTGATGCATCAACCATCATGTTTTCGCAAATTAATTTTATCTTACCTTTTGAGACGTCCTACTGCATTGTGTGTGCTGCCATTGACGAACTATCGTTGCAGTAACATAACCCTCATTTCGTTCGGCCAGAACACGGTGTCGGGTTACTGTCAGCGGCTCGGAAAGGAGATGTGTGACCGGCTCACGAGCCACGTGGACGCCAACGAGCGATGGGTGATGTCGATGGTGGAACAGAACGGCGCCAGCGATCCCTACTGGCATCAGGTAACTGAAATGGTAGTGACATACTTATAACGTCAGCTTTGTCGTTATCACTTCTTTTGAGCGGCTAGAGTCGTGGGCAGGAATGGTCGCTGGGATGGGGGTCTGAATAATGCTCCCATGGTGTTAAATTCTTTACTGCCTCCTTCTGTACTCTCCACCATATTGAACTGAAACTATCTGCCGATTAATCCCTTACTAAGGTTTTTACAGTACTTTGTGTAACCCAAGTTGCATTCGTCTCGTTGTCGGACACAAAGACACAGGCAACAGTAATTAGATTTGCATCATCAATCACATTGCATGAAACGTCAGTGTGTTCACTCTGCATTTTAGGTGGGTCTGGTGTATCAACAAATGTATGGAATAGTGGACTACGTGGAGGTGACCCCCAACTATGAGGACGATCCCGGTGTGAAGTAAGTTCTAGTTTTCGCTCAATTAATGCATGTGGCTATTCATTCATGTTTTTGAAATATTTATCCTATCTAGCTTGCCGTTAGAGCCAGGGCTCGACATTTAACATGCGCTGTCTTCAAATGTGCTGAAGCCCGTTTGAAGCGAAGCAACTTTAATCGAATTACGTAAGTTAATGGTATAAAAGTCATTGCATTTTATAACATTGTTTGTCTTTCAGGTGGCTCAGCCTATGGGGTGATCTGGAGGATCTTGAAATTGCTCTGGAGGACCACGAGAAGAGACCGAAGCACGTGAAGGCCAGCCTGGGGAGCAGAGTGCTGGGCTCCGGTCACTGTTCCGCGCTGGTTAAGGTGCTACCTGGTGCAGAGGACCTCTACACGTCTCACGTAACTTGGACCAGGTCAGTATCTACATAATTTGGGCTTGATTGATCCACAAATCCACTTGAACGTACTGTGTCGAAAAAAAAAAATGTTACGCATGATGGATCCCCCATCATTTATGCACACTAGATGAACGGCTGCGCCGGTTGTGGTATATGACATTTTTCGTTATTTGAAAGTCATGCTACTACGTCAAAAGTTGTTATCGGCTCCTTGCGGGAGCGGCGACCAGGGAGTCTTCTGAAGCGCCTTTCTTCTGTCGTTGGACACCGTTTTGTGCGTGTGTACCGACCACCTGTGACGGTGGCGTCGGATGGGAGCACGCAGGTGGCCGCCACTGTCCGTCGCCTCCTGCTGAGTTTGTCCGAGGGCTGATACGAGTCGAACACATACAGTACACTTGTACTTGGTCTTCATGCTCCGTTACAAAATATGTAACGTTAAAGAACGTTTTTTAAGCAATTTCGGGCGTATAAGCAGTCTTATAATGTATTTATTTATTTTAGTCAATCCTATTGACATTGTGCCTGCATAATAAGATATTGAGGCTTTCATGTGTATTAAGGTCTTATTATCTGTTTGTGCCTAATGCCTATGTTATTGAATGTCAAGCAAGTTCAGTTGCTTGGATATTGTGAATGTAATTGTTTTTATGCGATCGAGCATATCACACTGGTAGTCATGCGTACATGATGCGTACACCAGACGTCTCAGTATAATTCCTGACCTTCCTGCACTGCAGTTTCCAGACGATGCTGAGGATTCAGAAGAGGTACATTCTGAACTACGGACAAGCAGAGGGAGCGGACAAAGTAGCCATTCCGGGACGCATCGCCACGTTCTCTTCCTATCCGGGCATCATCGCCTCACATGTCAGTGGCGCACAGCAAACGTGCTCACTAAGTATTGAGCAATCGAATGAATCCATAACCTTTGACACAAACTTCTCGATATAAAACTGAGATCTTTGGACTTTGCTCCTTTGACTGTATACAAGACATGTACGAAACCTAGATGCTTATATTTGCTTTAATAGTGCATAGTATTTCGCCCGAAACCTCTGAATGTGACGGGAGTCGAGAATGTTTCATGTGTAACGTTACTGCCACGCAGAGCGATGCATTTTTCATGCATCCTCATTTCTATTTTGCAAAAAAAAAACGTTGATTAAATTATTGTTGACCAATGACGCTTATATCCATCGTTGCAGGATGATTTCGCCGTGCTTTCGTCTGGTCTTGTGACTCAAGAGACTACCATTGGCAACAACAACAATGATCTTTGGCAATATGTCCAGCCGGAGGGCCAGGTCAGTGATGCTTTCCTGAGACACGCGTGAACATTTGACCGAGCAGCTACTGTGCTGACTGCTGACTGCTTAGGTTATGAAACGGCATGTTTATCGCGCCGCCTAGTTTTGAACGTCGTAATTTGGCATTCGACGCCTTAAGCTAACGTTCAGCGCGACATCTCATTTCTGTTTCATGTGTTTCATGATTGATGTTTCATTACCAAGAAAAGGCATGGCACCTGAGTGGCTTGTAAACTCTACTCGTATTCCAGGTCATGGAATGGGTTCGTGTTTTGGTGGCCAACAACCTAGCGACCAGCGGCGAGGAGTGGACGGACGTGTTTGGCCGCCACAACAGCGGCACCTACAACAACCAGTGGATGGTGGTCGACTACAAGCGCTTCAAGAGCGGCGACACGGCGCTGCGGCCGGGCCTGCTCTGGATCCTGGAGCAGATTCCCGGCACCGTGATGGCCGAAGACGTGACTGGCGTGCTGCAGAGCCAGCAGTACTGGCCGAGCTACAACTCGCCCTACTTCCCCGAGATCTTCAACATGTCCGGAAACCCCGAGCTGGTGGACGAGTACGGCGACTGGTTCAGCTACGACATGACGCCGCGCGCGCGCATCTTCCGCAGAGACCAGGACGGCGTCACCGACGTGGGCTCCATGATGAAACTGATGCGCTACAACGACTACCAGAATGACCCGCTCTCGGCGTGCGACTGTGAGCCGCCTTATTCTGCCGAGAACGCCATCTCTGCCCGGTGCGACCTGAACCCGGCCAATGGTACCTACCCGTTCAGCGCTCTCAGCCATCGCCTTCACGGGGCGACAGACATGAAGCTCACCACCACCAAACTGGTAATTAGAGGCTTAGGCGCCATACTGTGGCTGATAATGCTAACACCCATGATGCTTCCTTTTCCGTTCTGTGTGTTATGTTGGTGCATTGGTAGTTTTTGCTGGGAGATAGCTGCTCTCCTCTTTCAAAAGATGATGCAC